CCGAATTGCTTCTGTCAGGAGGCAGCTGGGTTTGGTCACTCTGCCCTTCCCATTGGTTAAGTGGTTGCTTTGGGTTTTTGTGGACGATGTGCTGGCTTGGGGGTGGGTGTAGGAATTAAATGGCATTAAGAGGACATTCCTGTTTCTCAACCTGCAATGTGATTTCTACATCTGAGCAAAAGGTGCATTTGATCTCTGCCCATGTTAGAGTTGGTCTTTTGGGACAAGCAGCTGAGTGGGAAGAGGGGTTTGTGAAAGGAAGAGAGCCACAGTCCCTTGCTGGAGAGAAACCTTAAGCCTGACGCAAATGGAGCATACAGGTCAGGGATTTATGGAATTTTTTTTTTTTCCTGTGGAACTATTGACACTAGAACTACTATGGAATTATATAGTGGCAGAATTATTTGCAAAACTAATGAAAAACTATAGGTATTTAGTAATACAGGCATCAGTACATGCATTAGAAGTTGCTTGGTTCTATTGACCTTCCTGTGTCTATGGAGGGTCGAGGATTTGCTCATTTTCCATTCCAGTAATTGTTCACATGCTTGATCTTCCATTCATGTTTGAGGTGGGGTTGGAGATATTGGTCTTCAATGTGCCAGCCAAAAAGTAGACAGTGTAAGCTGTCCACTTGGGGTATAGACCATGGAAAGGGTGATATTATAAAATTTAAAATTTAAAAGCATGATAAAACTGAATAAAATGTGATCTGCTTTTACATTTTCAGCATATTTAGAAATTCTTAAGTATATCAGTGAAAAAAATCTTCTTCTAGTCTAATTTCCAAATATTTTCTGTGATTATAGCTGACTTTCAATAATGCATGGGCACACTTGAAATTAGTACATTTCAATCACCTATATAATAAGCAGGGGCTTCTTCATGGAAGTTGACTGAGAATTCCCCAGCTAGCTGTTGGCCTCCGGCACACATGGGGTCAGTCCCTGCATTCATTTGGGGTGAAGTTCCTTATGTTTCAGAATCCTTCATTGGCTGCCAGTACCGTTCATGTTTATAACTCCCATGGCACTATATAGTCTCGAATTTAAACAGTATGTGTGAAATAAGCGAAGAGAACTGTTTGCAGCTTTCCTTCTCTGAACTGTATTTTTTTTCTGGTGTGAAGTCGTAGGCAAGGTTAACCAGACACAAAAATATTTGCAAACATCCAGCATTGGTTTTATGATATGCTGCAAACAAGCTACAGCCTTGTTCTTTGAAGACTGTTGCATAGAAATAGGGGGAAAGGCTACTAAATATGTAAAATGTAAAGCATCGGACATTTGTAAAGAAAAGGAATCAAATTAGAAGAAAACACTCAGAGAAATAACAACATGAAATAAACAAGGCAATGCTTGATTGTCCTGGTAAATTTCTCTAAGAGTTGGATACTAATTCTAATGCAGGAGAAAAATTTAGAAGCCCATAGTAAATGCAATAGAAATTTCTGGTAGAAGTTTTTTACTTTATTTTTGTGAAGGTATTTTAGTGGAAATTTTTTGACTGTGAAATGTTTAGAGGAGACTAAAATTGATACCACAGAAACAAAGAATATACAGTATGCAACTGGGGGAATTTATCACAAAATGGAATTTTTGTGAGACATTGCCAGGCTGAATTATGTTTAAGAAACTTCTTAGATGTATGTCTGTGAAAGAAATGTGAAAGAAATTTTATTACATTAAAATTAACAAAAAAGCATTCTTCCATGATCTATCAGAACAGATTGACAGAAACCTATATCACTTACTGAACATGGACGTATGAAGAAAATTAATTTATACAAAAGCCTGAAAATGTTTGCATTTGCAGTGAAAGCTTGAAAGGAGAATCTATAATTTGGTGTTTAAAATTGGCCCACATGTAAGTATACTTTTCCTTTTTAAAAAGTATAGCAATGCAATTAAAACAATTAATCCATTACATTTTCTTATATGGTAATATTTATTTAAAATAAATTACAGGCCACCATTCCATGCTCCTAGGGCAGAGAAGGTGAGCCAGTCCCAGCACTCAGAAGGAGGCTCCCCTGCCACCATTCCACACTCCTAGGGCAGAGAAGCTGAGCCAGTCCCAGCACCCAGAAGGAAGCTCCCCCGCCACCATTCCACACTCCTAGGGCAGAGAAGCTGAGCCAGTCCCAGCACCTGGAAGGAGGCTCCCCCACCATTCCATGCTCCTAGGGGAGAGAAGCTGAGCCAGTCCCAGCACCCAGAAGGAGGCTCCTCTGCTGCCATTCCACACTCCTAGGGCAGAGAAGGTGAGCTGCATGGGTGCAAGAAGCACACCCCCCCCGACGTGGAAATGAGAAGACATATAAACAAGCCTCAAAAACAGACTTCCAGATCACCTACAGCAACCCCAAAGGGAAGCAAATGGAACCATCTGATACTCAACCACCTGGACTCTCTGAACTGGCAACAAAAGAGGATCTGGGAAAAATGAAATCAGAAATAATTACTCAGATAACAG